CAATTTGGATTCTTTTCTCCATTTCTCTACTCTCATTTGCATATTAATTCAGACTAATGGAGTAACTCACTTGTCATGTCCTCCACGTTTGGCGGTATGATTTTCTGCGGATTAACTGGGAGCACAAGCTTGTGCAAGACTCTCGGCAGGGAATCTTTGTTGCCATAATGACAACATACTGACTCTCTTGAGATGGCAACTAGGGCAATTTCTGTAATTTTTGGCATGACATTCCCCTGAATCAGCCCAGTTGTTTCCAGATCGAGAAATACAAACGTTCGAATCTCCATGTCAACTTCCTCGCTCAATGTGTTCCTCCTATTGCTGTTACCTTTATCTATCTTAACTTGTGATATCTACCTGCAACAATGACACTATAGTATTATATAATCGCAATGATTAATACATGAATAGATAGATTTTAAAACTTTGTTTTACACACTACGGAGTATCCAGTGAATACACCTTCGTTGTAGATTAGGCTTATGTGCTAAGTATACATTTTTCATTTAACATGCAAAATTTCGTGCAGTCAAGTGTTTCCACACAATTAACTAAAATTACAAGATCATAAGATCTTTTATTTGTGACTGGAATCTTTTCCTCTCTCTTTATATTTCTTTTCAACGCTCCATTGTATACTTGTCTAGTGAATCATTCTGAATGCACGTGGAAGACGCGTACAACGAGATAAGATAACATAACAATTACCAAATGCCAGTATTTTGCTTCCCTGAATGTTGCCATGTGAAGTCATTTAAACATAGCCTTGTCACGTAAACTTACAATATAAACATAAAATTAATTCCCTTACACAAGAGTTCATGCTTCATCGCTGACTCGTCCGTAACTTTCACCTTTCTTCTCTCATCTCTCCAACATCCATCTCACTTCAAATGTAAAAAAGTATAATAACAAAGTACAGCTACAGAGAACACTTTTTTTTTCGTGAGACATACACGAGAGCAGCCACCCAGCGGCCACGAGACTCACGAGCACGAGATCGCCAGTCCGCAGTTCGCGGCGGCGCGGCGGTGGCGCAGGTGCAGTGGCGGCGCGACCAGTTTCACGCTCCCCGCTGGGAAAACTGGGGCACACTCGGGGGCGCCGTTGGAGTCGTTGGACTGTCCAACCCGACAGGTTATGAACGCAGCCATGAACGGTGCCGTCGTGTTTGTTTTCGTTTTCGCGATTACGGGACGATAATTCGCACCTTCCCATGTTTCGAATCGCCGCGGTTGCGTCACCATGATCTCCGCAGCCCCATTTGTTACGCTGTTCCTCTTCCTGCTAAACGCCCAGGCGGGCCCTGTGCCGGATGCTCCGAAACTCCTGGTCGTCTCCTACGATGCGTTCAGGTGCGAGAATGTTCGATTCAGTAACGGTGCAACGAGCTGTTACGCGTAAATGTGTTCATAAAAATTATTGTTGCATGACGAGAGAAAGGATTGCCGAAGTGTACAGGAATTGGGCCAGGCACATGAAATAATTATTTTGGACGACGCATGACGATGCCGCAGTAGCAGTTTTGACATTTCAGCAGTCAGTTTCGAGCGTTCAAAATAATTAATATTTGGGTGGCCCAACATAATTATCTTTAAATATTATATTTAGCTGTATTTTTTTTAAATGCTCCAGCAAAACCATTCTTTTCGTGTAAGATTTCACAATCATCACAAAACGACCGAAAGCGTTGTATTTATTTATTTATTTATTTCGCATTATGCACGCGTTGCCTATTAACACTATCAACGCCAACTTATAACTTTCTATGTTTTGTGTTGGATGGTATACTGTTTAACATATGGCACTCTGACCCATCAGATGGTCAATTCATAAATGAGTTAAAATATGAAAGAATACGTACAAAACGAAGATATACTTGGTTATACATTTCGTTTCTCTTTCTTTTGCATAGATACGACTACTTCGAGAGAAAGATGACACCGTTCATGACCCAGCTGAAAGCTGAGGGCACTCACACGGATTACATGATGAACATTTTCGTCACCAAGACCTTCCCCAATCATCACACGATGGCGACGGGGTTTTACGCGGAAACACATGGGGTTGTAGATAACGAATTTTTTGATCCTAGCAAAAATAATATTACTAAGTATTCGTACGAGCTGTATCATTACAACAACAATATCCTACCTATTTGGGTACGTAGCGGGATGATAATTATATTTCGCGTATACCTCAGGCGCGTATTATATTTAATGCACCATTTCAGACGGTTAATGAAAAGAATGGCAGACGTAGCGGCACGATGATGTGGCCGGGCTCGGTGTTCGAGTATCAAGGAACGAGACCTACCTTCGCACAAGTGCGTATTGGATTGACATATATTTAATAACATTTAGATTCTAGAAACATGTATCGATTGTATTAATATGATTTCAGCCGTTTAACGACACGATTCCGTGGGAGAAGCGGATTGATGAATTACTGTCGTGGTTCGTACATCCCACAAACCCAATAAACTTGGGGATATTGTACATCGAGGATCCGGATTACCACGGTCATGCCATAGGAATAAACGGCGTCGAGTTTAATGAGATTCTCCAAAAATTGGATAATATTACCAAATACATGCACAACAAGATTGACCATTATGGCTTGGCGGATGATCTCAATGTGATTCACTTGAGTGATCACGGCATGGCATCGGTTACGATGGAAAGAATAATAAACTTAACGACTTACATCAATGCTAGTGATTATATATTTGTAGGAACGTCTCCAGGATTGCATATTTATCCACATCCTGGTAAGGTTGCTTCACAATTCGCGATTTGCGCAGAATTATTTCTGTTGCTACAACTATATTTTTTATAAAATACTTTATTCAGGGAAAGAAGAAATTATTTATCAGAAACTGAAGTCTGCCGCAGAACAGACGAAAACGTTCAAAGTATACAGAAGAGAAGACATCCCGAAGAAGTATCATTATGGCAATAATACTCGCATAGGACCCATTTTTGTCATAGCTGAAGTCGGATACGCATTTCAGAACCTCTTAGACGTTATAGAATATTACAAACAGAAATTTAATATCACAGGTAATTTTATATATTATTCATATATTTTCTATAACTCTGTGAACCCCTACCACTAAAAAAAGTCCGAATATATGTCATAATTAAGTACGTATTTATTGCTAATTTACTGCTCTAGTCGCGAATTTGTTCCTATCCATTCGCAGAAAATTAATATTAAAAGTGGGAGTGCTGACGTTTGTTACGTTTGCATCCCTCAGTTTCGAAAAACACATACAGAGAAGCAATAAATTAGCAATAAATAAGCACTTAATTATGACATGTAGTCAAACATTTTTTCAGTGGTAGGATATTAGTTCACAAAGGTACTATTATATATATTTATTACATAATTTTTAACGTTGAGACATTGTTTCTATTATTGTTAGTTACCAATCAGACAGAATTTGGGCTGCATGGTTATGATAATGAAGCTAAAGAGATGCATCCATTTTTCTTTGCGAATGGACCTGCTTTTAAGCCAAAATGTAAATTAGAGCCTTTTAACAATACGGACTTATTTCCCTTGTTTTGTGAAATACTTAATTTGAAGTGCCCCATGGTTAATGGCACTTTATCTCACATAACAAAGTGCCTTAGAACACGATCGAAAAATGTATCAATATCTACGTATAAAATGCTGAGTAAGTACTTAATAAATACTTTTAGTACTTTTGATAAATACGATTTAATAAACCAATGATTATTCTTTTAATAAGAACACAGATTTTCTAAGATCTATCGTTAAGAATAATTTTTCTTTTAGTTGCAGTTATTCTAACCACTACATTGATAGGAATGTCGATAGTGGCTACAATAATTTATAGGAAAAAACGAAGATTAGCATATAATCATAGGTATGTAACAAACAATGTACGATAAATGTTAATAGAACTTTTTTAATTTGAAGCAGTTTTAAGTATTCGAATGTTTTTCTTTTTTTTTTCTTTTTCATTTATAATAAAGCAGGATTGATAAATAAGGCTAAATTCCGTCTCGCGATAGAACTTAAACTAATTTTAAAAAACCTTCCTTAGATCTTAAGAAGATAGTCATTTATCCAAGCAATGGTGGGAAAGTTGTTGAGAATAACGCAGTAAGCTATTAGACTTTAATATTAATATATATGTAAAAACCAATGGTCTGTGCCCTGTATTAACTTTAGGAAATTGCATCTGTGTAACTAAAATAAAATATTTTTTATTTTTTTTATTTTAGAAAATTGTTTTGTATTTCTAACTATTTTATTGATTTAGGACTTAATATTTATTTGATCTCTTTATATAACATAAATCTATAATTAATCGTAAGCCGCCATACCGAGATACAACGTACCCAATGCAGTTTAATCATTTTTAAAATTACATTTCTTTAACCCATTACTTGAATTTAAAGTCTTATTGTAGACGCCACTTAAACAGTAGCTCAATTCGCCAACATTGGAAACTATTCATGTCAAAAATAATTGAAGCAACTCATAAATAGTATCGGCACGTATTTGACTTGGAAAAAAATGCAATTTCCTGTCTTCAAAAGTTGGTATAGAGCAGACTATTGGTTTCTACATACATAATAATTAAAGCCTAATAATTATAGCTTACTTCGTTATTCTCACAACTTTTCCACTATTTCTTGGATAAACAACAATTATTTTTTTACTTCTTAAGAGTCTTAGGGATCTGAAGTGTACTATTACATTTGTCTATTTTCTATCGTACGACGAAAAATTTTTTAAGCGTGTTAATTAACTGCAGGACAGAGGTTTTCAAGCCTCTTTATCCTATAGCCAATCAACAGGCTTGAAAAATTTGTCGTACGATAAAAAACGCAAGGCAGAATTTGGCCTTATTTACCGGTTCTCCGGTTGATACTCTTTTATTTTGTTTTGTTTTAATGATGAAACTTTTGTGCAGCATTAATAAAATTTAGTAATAAAAATTATTTTAATTTTTCAGGGAATCATATTATACATTGGGCGAATAAAACGCTACAGTTTTTTAATAAACATGACATTATTTACACTTTTGTTGGGTTTTAGCTAGTGAATTAATGTAATATATATTATATACATATGAGACAGGGATATACATATTATACGAAAGAGATATAAATTATTATGTTTTCAACAATGAATAGTACAAATGTAACTTTTTTTTTATCTCCTTGGATCTCTTCCATTCTTTGTAAGAAGGCATGTTTATTAGATATAAATTAGGCAAGATTATTTAGCGTTAGACTGATTCTCGGACACTTTAAAGTGCTAAGAATTTGTTAATTTGATAAAATAATGACATGATATTAGTAAATTTGAAACAGTATTTCTCATTGGTACTTATAATATAACTTAATAAACTATGTAATACTTTTTGTGATCTTATTACAAATGTACATATTTCCGAGTGAATTATACAATTATTAACTCCACTTTTATTTTAGAAGAGTACTGGATGAATCTCAATTTTGGGATGAAAGTTTAACTCCTCACTTATGAAAAAAATCTTCCTATCAAATAAACACATAATTTTAAAAAGAAAAGGTTTCTATTTTCACACATTTCGAGTTATTTTTATCCTCATAGCGTACACAATTTGCTCGATATTTTCTAAATTACGTTACGAAATGGAAAACCTTCGCGTTGACTTGCGTCAAGGATCGAGCATTTTTAAAATCCCCTTTTCCATTTATTATCCGATCTAATGACTCGTGTTGTCGAACGGATTTATCGATAGAATCGATCGCGAGCAAGACGCGTAATAGAGGCAATTTGCATTTAGTTATTCCACGTGAAAGCTCTTAAGATCTTATTTGCAAGATCTCATGACAGGTGCAACGAGATGTCATGACGCGTTTGATGGCAATGGCTTTGTAAAGATATAATTTATAAACAGGGAATATTATAATATATTCAATTTCTAGAATTGTGTGCAGGAAATATATAATTTCCCGAGTTCTCAACAGCCAATGATATCCTGCGGCATTATCCTCCATTGTTGTTAGATTAGTTCAAGTACATCGTAGTGAAAATATCAGACGCGTCGCGAACGCGTATATCAATAGTTAAATTATGTATCGTTGTTTTTATGTTAATATAAAAATATATGTCTGTGAATTTAGAATTGTGCACATTGGAAGGAAACTGCAACTACGCAATTATTGTGCAAAACTTATGCACACACTAAAATGTTCCCTGACTGCAAAATGATGAATAATATTAATTACGTATGCGGAACAGCGCAGTCGTAACGATTAGAATTATGTATGGAACATGTAGATATGTAATGCCTCTGACAGGATTCCGTTTGATTCGTTTATTTCATGCGACTGTGCACAATCGTTTTATTAATGCGGATATGACGGAAAATTAATCGGCGAAGGAGGACATACATACCTCGCATTCCAATTTCACTTTCTGTCGGTGGAATATAATTATGAATAACAAATATGTATAGAAAAGAGGCTGTTAGGAGTCGGCGCGCGGTAAGTAATGCGCAGATATTTATGTATATATACGGTTTTTTTAAATATAAAAAAATCGATATAATTTAAATCGACAATACAACGTTTCGACTGCGTTCGAGTCATTTTCACCGTAATACTCGTACAATTTTAATCATAATCTCAGCGCATTCTTCGTGTCATTTGAGACTACATAATGTTTGTCATCGATCCAAGCTTTCGAGGATTTTAAAATCTCCAAACGCCGGTTCCATTATAGCCGGATGGAAAGACTGTGTACGTAATTATATCGTGGATTATCAAATTATGTCTTAATAAAATAACGTTAGAGATCAACCAAGAAAGACATCCGAGCTCGTCGTAACGTGATGTCGAAATTCAACAGTCACCATGAATAACGTTAACAGATTGCCGAGTAATTTTTTTTAATAATTTAATCGTGTGATTCAACAGTCACTATGAATAACGTAAACACGTTGCTGAGTAATTTTTTTTAATAATTTATCGTGTGTGACAGGTTAAAATTTCCATTACCATAAATATATTGTTGTGTGCCCTCGGGGTCTCGTGTCTGATCCGTGCTCTCCCGGTATATATTGCACAGCTGACGGGAAAATCAATACTTCGTATTGATTTTCCGAAAAGAAGAAGATCGTTCTCTGCCGACGAGCTGCAGTTTTCCCTTTAACACTTTGACAGCTCACAGCTGAGTTTCGCTGAAGCTTTTTTCGCGCGCGGACGATACTACGCGAGCATTTTATTATACGAGACGTTCTCTCTGTGTATTTCCTGTTCCGAATTAAAGCTAGTGTTAAAGTTCTTAAAGTGTTGTGTTCCTTTTGTGAGAGTGCGGCGCGCGTGTGAGAAAACGAGGGATTGCGCGAGCGTGAAACGATATATATTATAATGACAAATTAATAATATAATAATACAGAGATAAAACTTTATTCTCGTGGACAGTATGAATTATGTACTTTTTACCTTACTTTTTTTCACCTAGCCATTTATGTGTTTATTTCAAAATGATTATACTAAACGGCACATTTACTTACATTATATTTATCTTTTTTAAGCGTTTAAAAAATTTTAATAACACCGATTATCATAGATAGGGTGTCACTGAAAAGTCAGGCGTTAGATAATCATTATAGTGGACAACGTATTAAATTATTATCGTAAACACGATGTTGTTTTAATTGGCAATTGTCATTGCATTTATATTTTTACGTTAGATAGCTTGCACTTATATATTCATAATTGTTGTAATTGTCATATATACGAGAGCATTTCCTGATTTTGTTTTAAAAGCTGTAAAACGATCTTGGTACTCCTGAATATAAGATCTTGAATACAAAGAAGCGGATGGTTTTTTTTATTAGCTCGCTGTCTTGTAATATTATAATTACATAAATTGCTCGCGATAGCGCGAAATAAAAGTAAAAAAGTTTAATTGTACCATAACAAACTAGCGTTATTATACACGTAACTGTGTTACACATATGTTCAGCATTCAAAAACATCGTAAATTACGATTATTAATTGCAAAGGTAATTATGTAGATAATAAATTAAGACTAACAATTCTATGTCACACTTCACATGTGTCATTGTATAATCATTTGTTTTATCTATCATAAATTCCACGTCACTCCACATATGCCTTTGTATTATAATAGTTTGTACATACAATCGTTTGTTTTATCATTTCGCAAAAACAGTCTTGTATTAATGATTACTTGCCTAATTATGGACTTTACAATGCCGCGATAAACGATCCTCTCGAAAGATATCGCGACGATTGTTCAGATAAGACACTGTCTCGCGTATTTTTTCGCTTTTCTCTTTGAGATCGCTATTGAGGACATAAATGGAAAATTTTTCGCGATTCTAAAAAATATGATACAAGATATATTATAACGGAAAATCGTACGCGGACGCGTGAGAGAAATGAAACCGCGCGTTTCGATTCAGATAAACGAGCTGATTAATATCTCGTAAATAGCGAGAACTTTGCGAACGCTATATATCTCTCTGACTCACATCGGGTCAATTACTTCATATTTCCCGAAGCAAGCGGAAATAAGTGTTTCCTTAGAACAAGCTAGGTATATACCCGAAACTGCGCGAACATGGTGTACTGTATGTCGGCGGTTTTCACAGATTTTTATCTAGCGGACTTTACGGCCCCGCGTCATCCAGCGAGTAATTTAACTTATTCGGGCATTTGTACAGAAGTGTGACATTCGTTTCTCTTATTTACTTTCGTGCAAATTTGTATCAATCTGCCATCGGCAAACAAACTTTGTAAATCGTTAAAATAACAACACAGTGATAATTCAATCACGTTAATCATCATGTAATTATGATATCCTTTGCGTGCGGAATGGAAAATTAGATTTTCAAATAAGGTCTTAATTCTCCTTAAGTACGCTAAAAAAAATGATATCTTTTATCAATAAAGATGTTACATCATCTTCTTCGTCCTTGAATTGCAATTTATGCAAACACTTTTTGCGTTTGAAATTCATAATTTTTATACCACTTTGCAAATTATTTCTGTTTTATATCCAACAAGTAATTAACAATGCGGTTGCCAGCCGATTCAAGCAGAATACCGCGACAAATTGATAACAAATTGTGCCCACATTCACATTAAACATCTGTTCTGCAGAAATTGTCAGCAAATTATCAGCTGAAATCTTATTTCGTAATTTAAATGGAATGTATTATTTAAATTAAATATTTTGGAACGATAAATTTTTTACAATTTTTACTGTCAATCTGTAAATTATATTAGCACATGTTGCTGCATATTTATTTGTTGACATTCTGTCGACTAAAACTTAATAATAGACGCTTTGCAAAATCTGTCTTCCGCGGATTTGGCTATCTGAATAATTATATTATCTGGATCATTAACTTTCAGAGTTTACATCTCATCTCTTGTTGCTCCCTCTGTATTGTTTTATATTACATAACATGTACCTACTCTGCTTTTTTACATATTACATAATATGTGCTCTACTTTTTCTCAGAATAGAACTAAACCCTTAAAGCTTAATAAAAGCGATTGCAACAACAAAGAGGAAGATTTATCGCGACGTCCCGACGATTAAAATTTATAGTGTCATCATGTAGTGTAAAACTATATTTCTAAGTGGACATCGCGCGTTAGCCGGGATATTCAATCAATATCCAAAAATATCCACCGTTTGTCCACGCTGTACGGAACGCTATAAGAGAAGAGGCCAACGCCGGTGGTTCGAGCAGCAGCAGCAGCAGCAGCAGCAATGGACGAGGGCGATCGATGTGATCCGTGGTGCGTTCAATGCCACTCTTGGAGAACATTGAATTGTGTTCAGTAACAGCGGTAGTAGAGAGAGAGAGAGAGAGGGGGTATACCCCACGGTCGATACCTATATAGCCAGCTACGAACGCAACAGATCGTTCCAGTCGTTGTCTCTCGTCTCAGGATTTGCTCGCCTCCTTTTTTTTTCGCATATCGCACGTCCTCGGATCAGCCTCGATTCCCCCGAGGCCTCGCGACACACTCCCACGATGTATACGGCCACGGTTTAATCGAACGACCGCGTCTATAACGATCAGCCGATCAGCCTCGCCGGTACGGTTATCGCGATCAAAGTGGTGCGCGATCAAGGTGGTAGCGCGCGGCGATAACGAATCGTGCTGTCGCGACGGGCGGAAGATTAGGGATCTCCGGCATGTTCTCCGGGACGTAGAACCGAGTCTCCTCGCCGTCGCCGAGCGGAAGCCGGTGAGGCGTTTGGTAATAAATATAAGTGCTTCTGTTTTAATATAAGTATTTCGTTTCGCCGCGCTGCGCGGATCGGCCGTCTCAGTTGTGCGCGCGTGGCGCAGCATCCCGAAGGCTGGATCCGAAACGCCGCGGTCTCGAGCGCAAGAAGAAACTTCCGTTGCCTCCCATCTTCTCCCGGGGAACTTCGGAGGTCTCGGTTGACAGCGACATGCCGCCGCAGGAGAAGTTTCCGGCGACCGCCGGAGTTTCCGGGGACCGGTCTTCCCCGCAGGACACGAGTCCCGACGGGGGCCTGTCAGCCTCGGCCTCGTCCGACGGCCTCTCGACCGTCAAGGGCCGCAAGAGCGACGACGACCCGGATGACGAGGAGCAGCCCAAAGACATGGACTTTGACGACCTGCTGCCGCACGTGGGCGAGTTCGGCACCTATCAAAGGATCCTGTTCGTGCTGATGATACCGTTCGCCTTCTTCGTCGCCTGGGTGTACTTCTCGCAGATATTCATCACCCTCGTGCCGGAGGAGCACTGGTGCCGCGTGCCGGAATTGGAGAATCTCACAGTTGAGGAAAGGTAGGGGTGAAATTGAAATCGTCGTCGCGCTTTCACGCTTTATAGCGTTTGAAGACAGAACTGTACTGATTAATTTGAGGAAAACGATAGAAAAATTATAGTAAAGGTAATTAATTCTGGATCTCTCACAGAGAATTAAAGGAGTTCATGTATTTTAGGCGATTTGGGAAGCACGCGGAGAACGTTAGATTCACCTTTTTTCTCAATTTTACTTGCTGAATCCGAAAATCGTAGTATTAGTTGTTCTAGTATCCAGGAAATATTTTTTTTCACACTTTAAACAGAAAAAAGCAACTGTTGATTTTATTATTTTGTTGAACCATATCTGCAAATTTTTCTTTGTTTTTATAAAAATATATGTTTCAATGTTACCTAAACTCTCATTCTTTCTCAGGACTTAAGAATCTGTAAGTTAGATAATAATTGTTTACGAGGCTAATAATAACTTTACATTTTATTATGACATATTTCGACATAAAATATCAAATATCTTTATATGATCTTGAAAAATTGATTTTTTTCGAAATATCTGAATTGTTTTTCCACATCTTTTATACTTTTCGAGATATTTCAAAGTTAAAATGTATACATAATTTAAAGTAACTTACAGATTCTTAAGTCACTTTAAGTTATTTATACATTTTAACTTTGAAATATCTCGAAAAGTATAAAAGATATGGAAAAACGTTTCAGATATTTCGAAAAAAATCAATTTTTCAAGATTATATAAAGATATTTTATATTTTATGTCGAAATAAATGGCATAATAAAATGTAAAATTATTATTAGTCTCGTAAACAATTATTATCTTCAATACTTTTTTATGCAGAATAATAAAAGGAATCATACTATATGAAAAAGTTATATAATCCCATATAAAATAATGCCCTTTATATAATCTTGAAAAGTTGATTTTTTCCGAAAATTATTTTTTTTGTTATATTATTTGTTTTCCTTCAAATCGTATAACTTTTATCTGAAACATTTTTTCACATCCTTTTACTTTTCAATATATTTCGATGCAAAAGTTAAAATATATATTTAATATATAATTTAAGGTAACTCTGTAATTTAAGGTAACTGTAACAGATTCTCAAGTCCTGAGAAAAAATGAGGACTTAGGTAACTCGAAACATATTCTTACAAAAAAAAAACAAAGAGAAATTCGTAGCATAGTTAAAAAAAGTAATAAAATCAACCACAGCTTTTTTTGTTTAAAATGTAAAAAAAATATATTTCCCGGATACTAGGACAACTTTAACTATTTTTGGATTCAGCAATTGAAATTGTGAGTAAGAAAAAAGATGAACTCAACGTTCCCCACGTATTTCCCAAATCACCCAGAATGCATGAACTTCTTTAAAAGAAAATGATGGCCAGATAGAAATCTACGCCAGAGCAGATTTTATCGATTGCATAAATTGTATAATAACAAACAACTCTCATTCTTTATATAATACTGTTACATTAACTGTTTAAGAGAAGAATTGCTTGTTTTTTTAATAAAAGAATTTTACTACTTAAAAAAGCATTATTTAAGCATAATTTTTATGCATGAACTACTTTGACATGTATTTACATATTTCTTTCATCTTACTATTTGTACGTGAGCATGTTATAAACTACTTATCAATATAACTCTCTTATTCATAATTTTTGCACGAATGTGCATGATTCTCATAATTTTCACAATCTTTTAAGCGTGAATTTTGACGTATACGTAGATAATTCCCTTACGTCTTATTTGGCACGTGATTATTTGAGCATGTTATATATTTTTTATCTACGTAACTCGTTAAAAATTCACACTTTCGTGCGAATACAACTTTATTATTATTTGCACGTGAACCATTTTCACATGTACGTATCTATTTAAATATTTCTTTCACGCCTTATTATTTGGCACGAGATTATTTGAACATGTTATAAATTTCTTATCTACGTAACTCGCTTAAAATTCACAATTTCACGCGAATGTGGTTCGTAAATAAACCACAGAATGGATACGTAGGCATTTGACAGTATCAACGTGATCATCGAATGACAATTCATCATCGTCTCATATCTCCTCTCTTATCGCTACTTATTTGCTTAACATAAAACGTGAAATCACTGAAGTGCATCGTGATAATCGTTTACTTGTCGATTAACAACATTGTGTAATTATAGAAAATTCAACAATAGGCTCCGATAACGTTTCTATCAGGCGACAAAATTCTTGGATCGCAATGTAGGATAAACGATTTTTCTTTCCCCTCTTCGATAGAATTGTGCGCGCACATTCTAACTTCGATAAAGAATAATAGAGCGTGCTGTAAATGCGCAACGATACAGATTGTCCCTTTACGGTGACGCACTGCCGTGCACGTTAGTCAGCTCAATAGGAGAAGAAACTTTTCATCAGAAGCGTGAAAAGAGCGTATTCACGATAACAGGTTTCACAGTTTTAAATACTGCATTGTCTCTTCATTATATGCTTATGCAACCGCATTTCCATAAACACCTCTCTCCCTTCCTTTTCCAATTATTTTTCTTTTTAACTACAATAATAACTCAAGGACCGCGCTCGGTCGTATGGTTTATCTCCGGTTTCTGTCGATCTCTAAAATGGCTTTTTTCACGGTAAAATCCGAGCGGATTTTACTCCGCTTACGACTACCGGTGTTCCGTAGAGATCGTTTTCCCGCGCGGTTAATTGTTCGCGCGAACAAATATACCGTAAACAATCGAATTACCTGGAATACGTAGAATCGGTGTGATTCACGGCCCGTGATTTGCTATATTTTACCACTGTGCGAGAGATCGGTCAGTGCGTTTTTATGAATTTTATGCTAAAACGATGTGAATTGTTTATTACATAATGGACTACGCATTGCCTCGTTTAGAATTATTCTTTAGCCGTTTTCCTCAATCAATTAGAAACATTTTTTTTATATTAGAAAAAAATCGTTTTTATAAAACATTGTGTAGAAGCGTTTAATGATGCCAAGAATGAAGAAATACAGAGAGGTGGCAACAATTTTACTTAAATCCTTAGGCATTAATGTTTGTCGAATTTCAGGACAGATTTCTGTTTATAATTTATATTGTATCTTTTTTTATATTATAATTATGTTATATGCCAATATATCTATTTATAAAAAATGTAAGTATTTTAAGTATTAAAATTATAGAAATGTATATTTGGTGTGTAATTGTATTTTATTGACTCTTCAAATGTTTTTTTTTTTTATTATACGCGTAAATATTCTCGTTTGCGTGGCTTGTCTAGCCGCTGCGGCGTACGCAATATTCCGGCGGTAATGACATAACGCGAGGTCCGCTAATAACTCGTAAAAGCGCTCCTAACGATCCGTTTTGTTGCTCTTTGAGTAAACACGCACAGTTCATGGATTTTTTTTTTAATAATAAAAAAGTAAAAAGAGCGAAAAGAAAGAGGAAATAAACGCGGCTGGTATAACGCTATTCTCGGCTATTGTGTCTCGCCGCCGGTGAATTTTTTTTCCCTCGCGTTCGCCGACGACGGCGATTTTTCATCTCTCGGCGGTCGCGCGAAAAGAACGGATGGAAACTGTGCACGCGCGGCGCGGCGCGGCGCGCAAACGCGTGTCAGCGTTTCCAGGTACGTGCCAGCCAGGGAAAGTATGGAAACGGACGCGCGACGTCGAGACCTTCGCGCGGCCACAATTCGATTGCACACGATTCGGCGCGGCAGGGATCGCGCGATTAGTAATACCCCGCGTGCGCTGGTTTAATAGCCTCCTTCTATCTCTCTGACGTAAGTCTAATGACGAGATAAATGACCGGTTGATGTCAGTTCTTTTTGCGGAAATTCACAAGAAGTGCACTCTTATATGGTATCGGGTCGAGACCCCTTAGCGTTATTTATTATTATTATTATTATTATTATTACACACGGCAGCACTTTCAACCGTTTCCAAACGGAGCAGCCGCACTGCACGCCACTTTATCCGCTGATCCGCATAATTAATAGACCGATTGTAATGCCGGAATGACGTTCGACATTAAATGGAGTGGAAAAAAACATTTTGAACGTGTTTTTCGCGCGACATGCACCTCAAGCGGAGAAGATTAGCGAGGGAGATATAATTCGCGATTATGAGCTATTATCTCCCGCACATAAGCCGTAAGTCGCGAGTTAATAGCTTAGCGCTTTAATGAGAATAAATTTTTCACGAGTTTCACCGTGAAGCGCGTCGCGGAGAGAACGCACTCTCTTACCTCACTTGAAAATTGCCCGTCGTTATTACACTTGCGACGGAATAAGTCTTCGGCAAATTGCACGCGGCAAATTTCGTTGCGCTCGTGCTAAACGTTTTTCTTTTCGTGACTGTTAGCGGCAATTGGAAAATCAATAAGGCAGATATATTTGCACAACGTACGCCTCCCGCGGCTGCCCCGCCGGAGGCCGGCGCGAGTGGATTATTCGTGGATAATGAATAATAAATTTGCACGAAACCTTCGTGTAAGCAATGAGAGCGTGAACGTGAAAAATACCTGTGTAAGCCTTTCAACATAACGCCGCGGTAACGGCCACACATTGATTGCACGTGGGCGACAAGAAAGACGGTCCTTAAGCAGGATGTACCTGCAGCGAGATTCTCGTTTCGCTCTATATTGTTCGAGCGCGTTATATAACAGACGGCGGAATGGAAATCATTTAAAGATTGAAACCGAACACGCGAGAGAAAGAATAGCATTGCAGATAATTGTCATTATACAAGAGAGATCCGCGAGGCTTCATCTGTGGGTTCCTTGAAGAATATTCAATAGTGTATTTTACTTATTTATAATGTAATATGCAGTAAATGTCATATTATAAATTTTTGCATTAAATAATATATAAACTTCACAAGTTAAAATTCTATTAAAGACTCACTTGAAGGCAATTGCGATTTTATATTATACCTATTCATATTCTTGAAGCTTAATTTACAAGGTTTCAAGCGATTTTTGTAACCGTTTATCGAAAAATTATAATATTTTAGTATTTTTCTAAAGAGTAAATAAAATTAATTCTAAATAGCAAAAAAGATTGATGTTTATCGAGAACGTCTTATGTAATAAAAAAAACTTATTTTGTTACTCTTTATTATGTACTTATTATTTATTTTGCGATATTTTTGTCGTTAGCCTAAAACTGTTTTAAAACAAGAGTGTTATATTAGCTGCGTTGAAATACAACGACTTTATACTTAACTGTGTAATTTTTTCTCGAAGATATATGTCTGTTTTGCACGTATATTTGCAGGTTTACGATCGAACGTCATTATTTACTTGAGTATTTTTGCGCGGCCAGTTACGAACTCGTGCAGAGAGACGTTCTCGCACGAGCGTATCTATCAAGGATGAAAAATGTTGTACGTGCATTGCAATCGATGTCGAATGCGTCCGTTCGTTCGTGTAACTCTCGCCCAAAGGTCAGATTGCATGCGTTATTAGCCGGAGGTGTGCGCACGCACTCTCGATAATTGGAGACCTTTATACGCGATCTTAATTGCCGGCTTATAATCGTTTTCGATTTCCCGTCCCGGGACAGTCCCTCCTGCGTCTGACATTTTATTGGGTCAACGCTTGACATTTACGTGGAAACGTCTTATTATAACGGCAGTCTTACCCTCCTCCCACACTTACGCTAATACCATATCCTGCCCCGCGCGACGGATATTTTTATTTTTTTGTCATCCGGTTTTTCAGGATCGCCTTGGCGATACCGCCCGGCGAGGATGGCTTACATTCCAAGTGCACCATGTACGACGTAAATTACACGGAGGTCCTGTCGAACGGGACCAGACAGGCGGACCCGACGTGGCCGACGAGGGGTTGCTCGCACGGCTGGGAGTTCAATTTCACCGACGTCCCCTACGAGACCGTGGCGACCGAGGTAAGACAAGAAAGCTGGAAGGATCGAAGAACGAGAGGAGATCGACGGAGGAATCGCCGAGACAGAAAAGCGTCGTCTATAAAGAAACTTGAAATTTAAGAAAATTGACCAATCATAGTCGATTATTCATCTCACGTGAGAAGAATAATCGAGTGTGATTGGTCAATTTTCGCAAATCTCAAGTCTTAAGTCTCATTGTAGACACCGCTGAACGACGCTCTCCTCTCCGTGTGATCGGCGTGATTCTCTCTCGTTGTTAAGCGTTAGAAGCGCGTTCGCGTTCGCTATTTAGATATCCCAAGGTGGCTCGAGAGCGCGGCACGTGGGGTATAATGAGCGAACGGTGAGTTACGGAATTAAATATCCGATGTAACGAGCACACTCTCGCCGCAGCTCGACCACCGAAAGACAGAGCTGGCCGTATACTTGGCACGCATACCGGCGCGACGTGCAACAGATGTTTGCGCGCCGCGCGCTGTCACGCGAACTCGCGCCACGTGTATTCGCGCGACACAAGGACGGGTCGAGAGGTACGCAAAGAGCGATACAATTTACACGCGCGATTGCGCCGCGGAATTAAGCAACTCCTCGCGCTCATTGAATTCACCTGGAAATTGGATCGCCGCGCCAGATAAGTTCGGAAACGATCGGGCTTTTGCCTTTGTCTAGAGAACGTTCGCAGTTCCTTCTGCGTCAACCTTCGCACGTCTTGAGGCCTTCGGCCGCCTTCTGAGCGCGGAAACGAGCTGTAAGCAAGATTTTGCAGTAAATCTCGGCAAATTTTATCCTTTAAGTGTTAAGTAAAATATATTTTAGACTTTGCCTTAGAAGGCAAAATCGAGGATATTATTATACGTAACAAGAAGGAAAACAAATTTTTTTTATTCATCAAATTCAAATGTAATAAAATAATAATCGTATTATTAATATATTATCACAATAATATAATATATAATTATAATTATGTTATTATAATAATACATATAATAATTACAAATAAGCAGTACTTTGCCGATCCTTGCTTTACAGCATTCGTCTCCGACGCCGTTTGCTCGCGAATGACCGGCTTCAGGCCTCACTTACGAGACATTCGTAAATCGACGTCAGCTAGTAAAATTATTCGATCATAGATCCTCATTACAGTTGGGATGGGTGTGCGAGCACAGCGCGCTGCCGACGACCGCCCAGAGCATCTTCTTCATCGGCGCGATCTTCGGCGGCCTGATCTTCGGATGGATCGCCGACAGATACGGCAGAATACCGGCGCTGGTCGGTGCCAATGTCACCGGTTTCCTGGCGGGCGTCGCGACCGCCCTGGCCGGAAGTTTCTGGGAGTTCGCGCTGTGCCGGTTCTTCGTCGGCTTCGCCTTCGACAATTGCTTCACCATGATGTACATACTGGGTACGTATATGCGTTGCGATATCATCGTGTATTCGGCTCTTCGAAAAACGAGAACTTGCGCCGTAGAATTTTTTGTAAAACTCGATGCTCCTCTTCATTTTCGATCCGTCGCGTTAATCATGGAAATTCTTATCGCCTTCTGACGCGAATTGCTTCCTCGATGACGATAAGCCTTTCATGCGAATTTACAGCTGTCCCGGAAGTCGAAGGAGTCACAGAAACCGCGCGCGTAAGATATGATCATGTACGTGACGCATTAAAGGCTATAATGACGAAGAAAAGGAAAACGAAAGTTGCAACTTCCCGTCAATCGCAAGACCGTGGATCGTATTTGTGAATAATAGCAGTGATAATGTTGCAATGACCTTGTCAAGAAAACGACCGGCGATAATTTATATCCGAGCTAATTAATATATATATGTACGTGACGACCTGATCTGCTAGATTCCGCAATTAATTTCTGCGTCTACATTCCACATTGTGTTTATTAATTGCGTGCTAATTAAAAATCAATAAATTAACCTTTATTCGCAATATTTCATTTCGCGGTAATTGCTGTCGCGGCACAATTGGTCGCTTCGTCTATCGAACCTTCGGCCGCCTGTCGGAACCCGCAATTATAGGTCTTTGGCGACTGCAATTAATATGGTGCGTTGCCCGTCAAACAGGATCGGCGGAATTCCAGACCGGAAAAATCGATCGTGATCGATTTTTAAAATCAATTCTCCTTTCCACCGCGTTTATTTTGTTAATTGGCGATTAACGAGAAATTCCGCGCGCGCGTTCCCTTTCTTGTAAACGCACTTCAAGCAACGTGGAACAATGCCATGCGCTAGAAACGCATCTCTCCTTGTATTCACTAAACCGTTACCGTCAACCTTAACCCCGTCAGCTATCGCGCTACTAATCGTCGTTATTTCATCGCAATCGTAATTAAGCCGATTAAATCGTGATTAAAATGTTTTCACGGGGTTCTGGGACGCGGACTAATTTGCGGGCAATTATACGTGTATACGTTTGTATATACGTCGTTTAAACGATCGCGCCGCAAAAAGAAAAAAGGAGATACGGTCTTCGCGATCTTTCTTGTCCCTTCCTTGCGCAATTATCTAGCGCCCGGCGATTATCGCCGCGTGGCCTTGGCCGGTAGACCAGCGAGTAGTACGGCGAGTCCGCGAGTGATTGTCGGTCCGCCCGAATCGAGTCTTGGAGCGCGCGACGGCCTGGTCGAGTCACGGCCGATTACGATCGCCGGATTCAGCTACCAGGTCAAGCTCGCCCGGTTTGACTCACGAAGTCACGGTTATTGCACTCGCCGACTGGCGTTTTGCCAGTTCCGTTTCGTCGATCTCGCCGATCCCGCCGCTTCGGTCGGTGGAAGCGTGGCCAATGTCAGAGGCACGTGCCGTTATCCGCTCGCTAAAGAAGCATTAAGTCGACAAGTCGATCGCATCTCATTGTCCCTCGTGAAGTTTATAATTCGTTACGGGGAATTTGATATCAATTTGCCTTTGAAGGACGAAGGAGAGAGAGTAAAAAAATAGCTCGATTCCGTAAAAAATAGCTTCGTGTTTCCGTCGAATTCTCTCGCGTGTTTCGTATCGCCAGCTGCTATCGCGGAAGTCGTAAAAAATCGTAAATTCGACACACAAGTTCCATGACAATTACGTAAATTACGTTATTTTGTTTTTGGAGAAATAAACTTGGTATTATATAGACTAATTTGACGGCACAAACAACAGGTTTTCAGCTTGCTCGTAATGAGAGAGCTATTCAGAAATCTCGAGCGCCGATACGCGTCTGTTGGAATTATTCACGGAATGTGCAATATCGACACATTTTTTTGAAATCTGCAAAACGGTCTATACTGAATCTCGTAGCCTTGCGACCGTCGCTGTGAACACGCACAAGATCGGATAATTTTACGCTTCACAGATGGATGGTAGCGTGAAGGCAGCGCATTAGAAAAAATGACCGCTCGTCGATCTAATTGAAACAATGTAAGTCAGCAGTAATGCGCTATCTTCTTTAACAAACAGGAAGCATCTCGTGGCTTAGTATCCGCGAGCGTTGTTATACGAGGATGATAGGAGGCTACGAGAGGTTGACTATTAGGCTTCCTTGTGCTAACCACCAAGTATTATCTAAATTGCAAGAGAGGAAGAGAGGTTTCTCTCGATGCATTCGCCGGTTTTCGTTTCCCGCGGGCGGCTCGCGGATAAGGTCAGGGCGAAGGACGATTCGTGGCGTGATAATTTGATCATCCCGTGACTTTAAATAAACCGACCGTCCGTCCGCGTTCGAGATGATTTTTGTTTAGAAAATAAATTCTTACGTAAAGAGACGTCATTAATATACAGTGATTTAAATGCAGATTTTATTTATCAATGTGACGCGTGTCACACTTTTTTTTAAATAATTTGCGAATCACGTCGCGTTTTTTTTTCGAAATCAGCTTTAGCGCTTCGCGAATGTTGAAGTATTTATAGAACGATCGACATTTTAAATATTTTTCTAAATATGTTTTTTTTTTTTCAGTACTGGAATACGTGGGACCGAAATGGCGCACTTTCGTGGCAAACATGTCGATAGCTCTCTTCTTCACGTTCGCCGCCTGCATCTTACCCTGGATCGCGTATTTCCTGGCCGACTGGAGGATGACCTGCATCGCGATATCCGTTCCTCTGGCCCTGGCTGTGGCAGCGCCCTGGTTGGTGCCGGAGAGCGCGAGGTGGCTCGTCAGCCAAAACCAAGTGGAGAAGGCCATTGGGATCCTGGGTAAATTCGAACGCATGAACGGCACGAAAGTACCCGAGAACGTCTATCAACAGTTTCGCGTAAGGATCATAGCCTCTTTCTTTCGTTCCGATGCGAAAAAAAATAATATCAAGGTCATCGAGAAAAATTCACGTTTGTAAATTTGCTGCTTGTTGATGTAACAGGAAACCTGCGCCAGAGTGTGCAAGGAACAAGAGGCGGACAAGACTTATTCCGTGGTGGATCTATTTAGGAGTCCGCGTTTGCGAAACACCACAATTCTCCTCATCATTATCTGGTGAGTTATTCACATGATAAAAATGTTTCTTCGATTTCAATAGATTCTAAAGAGGCTGCTGTAAGTGTTGGAGAAGGCGCTTTAATAAATAGCGTTCAATAGACATGTATTTCAGTGTCGTAGCTTGTAAGAGAAAACGTGTGTAACATTGAATAAAGGATAATCGTTATTCGATGACTATAAAGAATACGGTAAAGGTTGTTCCTTATCTACATATATCGATTATGTCCCGCAATGCAGGATGGCGATATCGCTGGTATTCGACGGTCACGTAAGAAACGTGAATAATCTCGGGCTCGACGTCTTTGTAACGTTTACCATCGCGGCATTTACCGAACTACCCGCCGACACGTTCCTCACCCTCGTCCTCGATCGATGGGGCCGACGATGGTTGGCCTGCGGTACCATGGTAATTTCCGGAATTTTCAGCATTTGGGCCAGCGCGGTTTCGAACAGTGAGTACACTGCTGGATTACCTCCTTTTACCTATTAGATTAGAAATCTGCCCGAGAAGCAATTATAGAGCTTCAAATAATTCGTTAAATAAAGCCAAAAAAATCATAGAAATTTTTGAAAATTACAAAAATTTGATTTACAAATAATTCACGTCTATCATATTTTTTTTATGATTGTTATGCAATTTTATTCTTTCCGTCTTTCAGATATTTATTCGGCCACCTTGGCGATCGTCGGTAGATTCTGGGTCAACATCTCGTACAACATTGGTCTTCAGTATGCGGCCGAGGTGCTGCCGACGGTTGTGAGGGCTCAAGGGGTCGCCTTGATCCACATAATGGGATACGTCGCCAGCATTCTCGCGCCCTTTGTCGTTTACTTGGACACTGTCTCGTCCATTTTACCGCTGTTGGTCCTCGGCATTCTGGGCGTTTTAGGCGGCCTCCTGACGCTCCTGCTCCCGGAGACACTCGATAAAGATCTGCCGCAGACCTTGCAAGACGGCGAGGATTTCGGAAAGGATCAGAAGTTATGGGACATGCCGTGTCTCTCGAAGTAGGTGTCGAAGATAATTTTATCACATTAGTTCTTCAAAACTTTCACGATACTCAGCGCTTTTCTTCTTTCGATGAAATAATCGCGTTGAAGAAAAATTGTACGAGATATATATTAAGAGTAGTTCAATAATTCAATTATACTTAAAAAATCTTTTTTTGTTCTGTTTAAATGTCTGTGTCAAATTGATCACTTTTCTTTCGTAATTTCACCTTCTTGCTTAATGGAATTTTTTTTAACAGAGAGAGTATATTGTTTCCTGAGAGAGATATATCGCATTCATGTATATATGTTTCTTTTTTAGAAAAAAGCCTGACGTGGAGGCGCCGCCGGTGACTATCTTCCGGTCTTTCGAACGCAGCAGCTTCCGAAGTTCAATGAGAGCGTCTATTCGCGGCGAGACCTTGAGGAGCAGCATGATACAAAGATCGAGCAGATCGAGCGTAAGATCGCGGAAGAGCGTGAATGCGGCCACGGAAGCGGAGAAGCCGGAGAAGCCGGAGAACAAGTGAATACCGAGAAACGAGGCCCTGATTTTTAACTCATTTCCTCTCTCTCTCTCTCTCACTCTTTCTCTCTCTACCGTTGTTCTTTCTCTCAGAATTGTGTGATACTGGAGCTAAATCAAATTATGCATACGCCTGTATCCAACTGTGTCAATGACAGTTTTAGATAAAAAAGACGAGGCAGAGCGTTACCCGCTCTATTGAGCGCTAAATTTATTTAATTAGGGAAGGGAAGGGTTGTTGCAAATTAATTTTAAGTATCGACAGTAGAGAAGTAGAAATGTCAATTAGAACTTAAGCAAAGATTAGAATTCAATTAAATCGCTCTAATTGGCCGTTCTATTTGCCTCTGCAGACCATAGTAGAACACTTTCGATTTTTTTTTCTATTACATTCTAAATCCTATATGTGTGATGCCCTCGAAATCTTGGATTTCGAGTAAAAATTATAGATAGGGACTTTTAGCTGCAGTCATGTAGTGTGCGAGACTACGATTTTTTTATTGAGATTCGTACTTATATATATATATTTTTACCACGCTTGTATTTAATAGGAGGAAGAAGAAAACCGGTGTCGTGAGTTTAGAAACGCGTGAAGTTTCGAAACTCTCTTGCCTGTTCCTTGCGAAATGCGCGACCTTCGAGGAAAAAAAAAAAGAAGAGGAGAAACTAATATTTTCAGATGCACCGTTCCGATCCCGCGGGTGGGAACCGTATTGAGAAATAGATGAGAAATAGATAAAAGGCAAATATGTACTCGAGACAATGCAAGAAACACCACTCGTATGCGTTTTACATAAATTGATCGCGTCGCCGTGCAGCCGCGACTCGCGTCGCTGTTGCTCACGTACACGTGTAGTATATGTAATACAATGTATATACATATAGCGGATGCGAATCAAATTTTTGAGTTATCTCAAATGACGCGACTGACTGCGCGTTGAATGCGAATGAGGATCGCGCGTTCTGAATGGGAAATTTTCGGATATAGCAGCTTCATTGTGATAACACGCGTATATATACATATATATATTGTATATATATATATACATATTGTATATATATATACATATTGTATATATATATACATATAATATCGACAATCGACATGTCCTTTTATCGAACGTTCATCTTTATAGTTATACCTTTCGTTGAAATTCAGATCTCGAGATTTGTGTACATATGCAACATATTTTATAATGTAAATAAGAACATTAAATTAATTTGTATCTCCCCGTCGATCTGTGTTAATAAACGTAGACGTAACATTCAATCGAATGAATAATTATCGACTATGGATACTTTTGATTGAAAAGGCTGCTCTGACGAAGGTTGCGATTGTTAATGAACGGTAACAACTATCGACAGCTCCTCGATTGCAAACGAGAGGATTTATGTTGGCTCAATTGTCGCGTTGCGTTGCGTCGACGATTATCGCCGACTCGATGAGTTTAAACGCGCTAATATCGAGCACGACGAAATGTCTAGTGCAGACATTGGGGATCGTTAATAATGAGCTGTAATTTAAACCACCTTATCACTGCACTGCGGTCGACCCACAATTAATCATTTCGCGTGGAATTTCAGAATCTACTCAACGGGACCACGATTCATCACAGCTAGTCTAACGCGAGAATCCGGAAAGCGCGCGACCTTCCTCGCTATCTTGATCTCGTCGACGATAAAATGCACGATCGATATAACGCGGGCGATCATTAGCATTAAGTATTCACGATAAGGTGAATCGTTTATATCTGGCGATATACATTGTGGAAATACATTGTAGAATCGTACAGGACGGCTCGCGTAGTTAGACTGAGCTGCAAGGAAAACGAAGGAAGTTATTCGATCCGTGAAAGCAAATATTCGCTTTATCATTAAAATTTCTTTATCGAAATTAAATGGAAATTTAGATAACGGAAACCTTTCCATCATGAGTGTTTAATTTTCCTTTCCTTCCTTTAAATGTATGATACTAATGAATTTACCTTTTGTAATCACTTTTTCACGATTAATTATAATTAATTAATTTTCCTATATTATTGGTAATAACGGAGGTTTCGGATAATCAAAGTTAGGTGAAATATCCTACCCTTCTCGCGTTTCACTGCAAAGAAATGCTGCGTAAAGAAATTTTTATTAAAAAAATTTGTCGCAGCATCGTTAACTGGAATAACGGTCAAGGTTTTACGTTTAAGTAGCAGAACGCTTATCGACCTCCGCGCATAGTTTATTTCTGGCTTGCAAGTTTGGCTCGTTCGAAACCTGAGTTCTAACAGCGCGCCAGATGTTGTCGCGAATTCGTAGGTAGCGGTACGGGAATTGCGTTAGTGTCGACAACCGGCTTGAATGACGTCCGAGGTGCCGAGTTCTGCTCGCAAGAGACGTTCGTACGAACGGAGGAAAGGAGTGATTTTGATACCGTGATCTTCATTAATAAAAATTATTGATAAAAATGATAATTGAAAAATTGCCACTGCTTGTCCGATATTCTTCGTTAAAAGTTATTCCAATAGAATGAGCATTAATTAATATATCGACTACATTGGCACAATTGATCTTAATTATTCTTCCGTGTTAGGTTTATCTCGATGTTGCAATTTAACATCGTTGTGCAAAAAGACCAACGTGTAATTTCATCCGTAAGCAACGATGGAAGATCTACCGTTAGCAACAATAGAAGATTGGTAAGTAATGAAGTAGAAGAGTAACAAAAGACATATCGATACTTTGACTAATTATAATCGATTAATTTTTCTGCTTCTTTTCTCTATTTTCAAATCCATATTAGTTAATTTAATTAAATAAAAACGTTTAAATTTAACTAAATAATGATTATATACAGTCGTGGACATTTCGGTTGTTTTTTTTATAAGTTTTTAATATATATTTAATATATATATAATATACAATATTTTATAAGTAACTAATATTTTGCAAATGCGAATCACGATGACGCACTATTTTTAGTCTAGAGACAGTATACTAATCATGGTTTGCATTATTTGTTCGCAATTTGTAAAATATTAGTGCGTTTCAAAACATATTAAAAAAAAGTGTCGCAACCGATATGTCCACGACTGTACATAAAGAGATAAAATTTATGCTGATTATATATTTTTTTTCTTCCTATTTATCTCTAAAAGATCTGTCTAGATTTTCGACATTGTTAGATTAAATTCATATAATAGCATAAACCCTTTTCATAATGGCTTTGTTAAAAATATATAACTATATAAAAATATATAATTAATATGAATAAAAATATTGACTTTGTCAGAGGTAAAAGCTTTTCGATTTGAACGATACAAGCGGTTTGCCTGTTTTTGTTTGTTGCAAAAGGGCAACTTATCTTACTTTCATCTTGATTTCTTCAAAGAACAAGCGTTCCCCTTTGCATTCTCATGTACGCTTTCTCGTTTACCAAGGATACCAAGTTTTAAAGCCTTCTTTTTTTTCTTTAGAAGAATCCTTTCCCATATCAACTTCAAGTTTTAAAAAGCGCAGACTCATCATTGACAGCAATTTTCGATCGCACGGCTCCGACGCGTGTCGCGCGTAGAACTTTCATCGCTCCTGCTCGCGTGTGTATCGCGAAGGTCGTATCGATTTTTTTCACCCCTCCTTCCCCAGTGCCCGAATGGCAAATTTACATACAATTTCGCTCCGGGGAGAACGCAAGTTTTCTATGTATACATTGGCGAGTGTGTTGAGCGAATCCTGCTGCGAATGAATCTTTTATGCCTCGCGGTTAACGGGACGAAAGTTTGAGTTTGCAGGTGCGAGACGTGTAACGAGACGTTGTATTTATAAGGAATATATATAGTGTATGTACGATAAAAATTGACTCCAATCGAAATCGGTCCTCTCTCGCGCAACATGATAAATTTTCATATATTCCACGCGCGTCTTCGTATCCGCGCAAAAATCCGACGCGACAGTTTTTTTCAGCGGACTTTTTTTTCAGCGAGATTTCTCCCAACGCCAGATTTCTTCCTCGCGCAATCGCAGAATTCGAGATAACGTGGTCCTCGTGCTCGGCATATCGAGCATGGATATGTCGGACCTTGATCGATCGAGAATCGAAAGTATTTCGACGTCCACGTGATGAAGAAGATATCTGGACTTTGAATTCAGAGTTCGCGGAATATATCTGGTAGAAATGTTCAGGTTCTCTTCTCTTCGAATTTCTTCAAGATCTTTTCGTCGCTGCAGGGACGAAATTTGAGAAGCATGGGAATCCGTCTGACTTGTACGTTCAGTCTCTCCTCATCCTTCCGCGCGGCGGCGATCGGTCTTCCCTCCTTGGATCCTCTCTTTCTCTGCTCGTGATTCTATGTTGACACATACGTGCTACAACATATCGCATTCCGCATGCCGGGCTCTTATATCAGCGATACTCAATCGAGTTTCCTCGTCAGACAGCGAGTTGCATTTCGCGCGAGAGTCTCGAGTCATTACCGTCGTCGTCGTTTAACCGCAAACAATTGTAATAAATACCCTTAGAACATATATTATGTTTTAAGTAAATACCACCGCAGATTGTTAACCACAGTCATTAAAAGTTATCACTTAGTGGATAGTGGTATTTCGACATTTACAATTGTCGTAAATTACGACTTATCAACAGTCATAGTTAATTTGCTCGTAATCTCTTTGACGATTTGCGACGCTCGTCGATTGTTCTTCCTCGCAACGTTACTTCTCCCGCAACGCGGAACGTCGCGTATAATAAATCTCAACATTTTCTGAACATAAATTGAAGATTAAAATAAGCGAGAAGCGCGAAATAATTAGTGCAACGAAAGAATAAAAAAGTGTAAGTATTAATGTAACGTAATATTTAAGCCAAAGATTACGTGCAATTAATTCTTTGGACATGTGACTTGTGCATGAAACTTGAAAATTTACAAGACAGCAGAGAAACTGTTACGAGAGATTTAAGAGCATAATGTGTTAAAAGATATATTAAGTTTTCTCTAAGAAATAAAAGAGGAAGGAGAAAAGAAAGGAAAAGGAAGAAAATTTGATCGAAGATCCTATAAGTTAAGTTCGTTAATAACTACAATTAAGGATATCGTGAGAAATGTAAATATCGAGGCCAGGATCTCCCAAAGGCACCCGTTACGCATCCAATTGTGTTTGAAATGAAGCTTAGGCGATGTTAAGGTATGAATCATCGATCGGATATCATTGACCAACTTCGTGGAGGGTATTTAACATGTATGCTCATCGCGTCGTGCTAATTACATGCAGATTATTTCATACGTGATAGCGATAGTTTTTGCGCAAGAAAACGTTCACCTAAATAAAAGCGAAGTAGCGGATAATCACACAATTGCAGCCGAGAAATGTTCTAATAATAGCATTTGGAATAATGTTAGCTTTTGCTAATTAACCTTAATGAATGGTCAGCCGCGAGATATTCGAAATGTGAGTACAAAATATATAACATATATGTGCGTGTGATAAATTTTGCTCTATTTTCGAATTAAATGTCGAATACTTAATTGCACGCATAAATTACGTACACATACGTGTGAAATATCAGATTTAAATCTGCGCGAACACGCTCTTTGTTCTTGTATGATTATTATTCTCGCGCTTAATCCCGAATCGTTTCGGATTAAAAACACAACGGTCTTGCGGAGCGCACATTGTTGCTTCTGCCTGCTTAAAAATTATTTTCGTCGCGTTATCAAGTTGCGTCGGACCACTTTGTGATCTGTCGCGCCAGTATTTACATTTGACATTGACCCTCAGCCATAACTTTCGATATCTCGTCCCTCCTGCACGTCAGTTCTTTATGTATACATATTTCTTTGGGGCGTTCGCCGCAGATACAACACAATCGCCCGAGTATCGTGGACGCGACGTACGTTCTCAGTTCTCAAGAATAAAAAGTAATTGTGCCGCGACACCGTGTCTGCGGAATATAGAAATCTTGAGTGTTAGTTTTTTTCGGAAGAAAGTGTTACAAAGTACGTAATATTTCGAGTTGCATTAATTAATAATTTCAACGTTATATCAGCCATTATATCTATTTAATCTATTTAATCAATTGTTATATCTATTTAATCTATTTAATCAGACGTTATATCTATTTTATTATCTGTTTGCAGCGTGCTAATAAATAGTAGAATAATATTAAGACTCTGGAAACCATTTTAATATTACTGTTAGTTGCAATTAATAAGGGATTCAAAATTTAGAAATATAGTAGAAAATAGTAAAGTTCTTAAAATTTAGCAAGCACGCGGTTTACAAAATCCCTAACGCTTTTCAACAATCTCCGGTATACAGTGCCTAATATATTTATCTACGTAATATCTGATGTTATTTGCATTATTATTATCATATTAAGCGGATATAAAAGCGACGCGTTGTCCAACATCGCTAATCTCATGCCGGATCGTCAAACTCGTGCTTAATCTTCATTATTATCTCGATCGAGACGCGCGTCACGAGCCACTTGATCCCGTCACGTTCGGACAACACTGGCTCCTCAGATCGCTCTCGCTCAAGTCATTTGACATCTCCGCGAGGATACACGCTCAGGCGGAGTGGACTTTGTACCGCAACCTAAGTTGGTTGTAACTGAATCGTTCATAGAGTCCGCTCCGATTTTTATCGGATGTTTGCTCGTTTCTTTGTGACTCGCGCAATTTATTACTTACAATATTTTAGGGAAGACGCTAAATTGTGTCAGCGAGAGTTTTTTTCGTGTCACATAAATAGCACATAAATATTGCGATCTTCTTTGTATGTTAAAATTAAAAAAAGATATATGTTAATTAATCAGGTTTATCAGCTTCAGCTTTATATAATTACAGTTTGTGTTACTCTTCTCTTTCTAGATATCTTTTGAAAATCTTTCTTCGTGGCTTCTCAGAATTTCAGATTAAAATATTCCGAACGATTTTAAAAGTTTTTTTTTCTTTGAGTTGTCGAGAGTTGACGAAAAAACGGACTTCGTTTTTCTTCCTCTTCTTTCGTTTCCTCGACTTGGTTCGCCAAGTGTGTAAACCTATGCGTATCAAATATTGGCATCCCTCAGGACGATGAAGAACTCGAACGGCGTGAAGAACCCCATAGATACCACGGATCCGAACGAAAGCACCACGTTAAGGCCAAAGTTGGAGACCTTCGACGATATCCTGCCGTACGTCGGTGACTTCGGCAGATACCAATGGCTGCTTCTATTGGCCTTGCTTCCCTACAGCGTGGCGTATGCCACCCTGTACTTCTCGCAGTTCTTCCTCACTCTGGTGCCGCAGGAGCATTGGTGCAAGATAAATGAATTGGTCTCTTCAAACCTCACGCAGGAAGAAAGGTAAAATTCAACGGCGTAACAATGGCGTTCATTGAGATCCAAAATAATATGTTTTATCGTATTTTAAATCACACACGTTTAGATTTATAATCTAACAGATATTATAAATCTGTATTAAAAAATTTTGGATCGTAGAACAGAGTTGTTGAACAGAATTGTCTCGAGTTTATCCTTCTCGCCACGCATTTTAATATCTCCTTGTTATCTACGAAGAGAGATATTTCGTACGTTAGAAGTCAATGTTTTCAGAGTGGAGATCGGCATACCAAAGTCGCAGAATTATCCGTATTACGACCGATGCCATCGGAGGGATTTGGATTTCTTCAGTATTGTAAATCACAAGAAGGACTATACCCGCTCGATCGAATGGAAGGCAAACAAAACCGTGGATTGCAGCGGATGGGAATACAATTTCACGCAGATCCCGTACGCCAGCATAGCGGCTGAGGTGAAGTGTTCTTGAATGCCGTCACCGTGTGTATGAAATATAGAGGGAATCAAAATCTCGGCGAGTACTCTTCGCCAAACGTTCGTGCGAGATTAACTGAGATTACGGGATTGCGATCTTCCTCCTTCAATCAACTATTCCAATCGTAATCCATTGTAGAACGACAATACGCGAATAAGCGACGAGAAACGGAGAAATAAGATAAAAAGTTTTTTGCGCAACTCCCGTAAACGGAGAAACGTGGCGAAACGTCGCGTTTTCCTCGCGCAACTTCAGTAATCCATTGCAGAACGATAATGCGCGAAAAAGCGGCGGGAGATGAAGAAATGAGATAAAAATAAATTTTGCGTAATTCCCATAAATGCGGAAATATGGCAAACGTAGCGTCCCTTCGCGTAACTTCAATCATAATCCATTGCGAACGATAATGCGCGAAAAGAACGACCGGGAGATGAAGAGATGAGATAAAAATAAATTTTGCGTAATTCCCGTAATAAATGTAAGAAACGTCGCGAGCTGATTCTGGACCCTTTGTGATTAGCTAGATTGGGTATGTGACCGGGAGTATCTCATATCGACGGCACAGTCGATCTTCTTCTGCGGCTCCATCGTCGGCGGCCTGCTCTTCGGATGGATCGCCGACCACAGAGGTCGGATCCCCGCCCTGGTGCTCTGCAACGGCATCGGGTTTCTGGCCTCGGTCGCGACCGCGAGCGCGAACACCTTCTGGTCCTTCGCCGTCTGCAGATTCCTTACCGGTCTGGCTTTCGACAATTGCATCAACATCCCGCTGATTATCGGTGAGCGATCGGCAAGAGATCAGTTTGCGTCGCATGCGGCACTGAATAAAATAACGTATTCCGACGTCCGTATAATTCAGAGCTGCGTGCGAAGATACACGCGATCATATTTTTCATTTTTCTCTTTTTAACGTGTTACATAAATCTAGACTGCGGATCTTTACGACACGATGTGCGTACGTGTCTGTACATAATTTTCATTATAAATGAACGGTATTACGCGTAGACTATCCGGAATAACTTGACGGAGATGAAGGATCATTGTATTTGATCTGCAAGGCGTTTTATGAATAATTATAGGCGAATATTACGGCGCGCGCTTTTCCGTCATTTCGTACGCGCGTAATTTCATTGTCAGCTGTTTTACATAAGCCGTTCGTTGCACGTATCGTACGTGCTATTAATCAATCTGTTAAATTGAATATTCCGGTATCTTTTTTTTTATTTTGATTAACGAAGCAAATTCTGAATGTCGCCAGTGCTCGAGTACATGGCCGTGAACAGGCGAACCCTCGTCGTTAACGTTGCCTTCGGCATATACTTCGCCGTTGGGAGCACAGTTTTGCCATGGATCGCGTACTATGTCGCAGACTGGAGATTCTTCGCCTATGTTAGCGCGATCCCGATGATGAGCGTCTTCATCACGCCGTGGATTCTTCCTGAGAGCGCTCGGTAAATAAAAATCCTACGGATCCTCAATTCATTCCACTCAATTCGAATCACATACACACGCATACGTAAACTGAACTTACGTGATTAATATATTAATAATCCGTTAATAATTTATGTAATTTTGTTAGTTACAATTAAAGCGTTGTAAAAGGATTCCATATTTCTCCGATCAAATAACTGCAATGTTCAAATGAGATTTACAATTCTTAAATGTACAGTGTTGCGATTTCTAGAGATTCGTGTCGCTCTTAGAAATTCATGCGAATTGTAAGCTCGTTTCACTGTTATCCGCGTCCCGTCCTGTGCGTCCTCCGAACAACTTTCCGCTGAAATAGAAACACTGTTTTGCTATTAAGATGGTTCGTCGCCAACGGCAGAATAGACAAAATGGTGCAGAAGCTGCGGCGGATAGCGAGGATCAACAGGAAGTGCCCCGACACGCGCATCTTCGAGGTCTTCATTGTAAGTAAGATTGATAATGAGACGCAACGCTGGGAGACCGTGACACACAAATCGCGCGTCATCCACCATCCACCGCCTTATCGTCTTTACAGAGAAACTTGACCGCGACCGACACCCAAAGGGAAAGCGCGACCATCTTCGATATTCTGAAGTCACCGCGTCTGGCGAAGAACGCCATCCTGCTAATCTTCTTCTGGTGAGTATAAGACGCGACTTTAATTTTCGTTGCCGCTTTTTGTCGCTGTCTTCTTTTTTTTTGACATAATCCTCTCGACTTCGCGAAATATTAATTTCTAAAGATATCGCATTTCCATCTCGTTAGGATATTTTAACGAAGTCTTCTTTTCCGAAAGTAATTTCAGAGTCTGACGCGCGTCTCGGATCTTATATCCCTTTAAATTTATACTGCTCCGATGCTTTCGAGATCGGACGCCGTCCACTTTAATGCATTAGATACGCGTACGGCGACGAAGTTACGGATGTACTTTCGGTACTTTCTAGGTCCTTGACGATGATAGCTTTCGACGGCCACGTATACTCCCTCAAGCTGATCCCGAGCTCGGTGTTCGTGTCCTTCTCCCTCGCCTGCGCGACCGAGCTGCCGGCCGGGCTGCTGCTGACGCTGCTATTGGACCGCTGGGGTCGCCGATTCTGCGGATTTATCACCCTGGCCATGACTTGCCTTTTCAGCTTCGCCGAACTGCTGTTACAGTCGAGTGAGCACATACACACCGGGCTTTCGATTGTGTCTCTCGAATAAAATCCAAGCGACCGCGCCACAACCATCTCTCTCTCGTCTCATGCGTTTTATTGTTCAGTCGTAGCGAAGCTGACGATGTCGGTGCTCTCGCGATTCTTCCTGAATATGGCAGCCAACGTGGGCCTTCAGTACGCCGCCGAATTGCTGCCGACCCCGATTAGGACGCAGGGCGTCGCATTGATCCACATTTTTGGCATTATCGCTCATTCCATCGCGCCATACGTGGTGGATAGCGTAAGTGATCTTTCTACTTTTCAGTAAAAAAGAAGGCGCGATTATGGAACTCTGATACAACCACATTATGCGCGACGATGTAATTAATAGTATTAAAAAATTATTTTTATATAGCGAAGACTCTAACGAAGAAGTTTAATTAGATTTAAAATATTTTATTATAATAATACAGTTTATTACAAATAATTGATAAATTTTAATTTGATTCAATTTAAAACGGCGAGCGAATATTAAGTGCAATGCTTTATCGCGTCGCTCGGTACTCAGTCAATCAATCGAAATTATTTCAGGCCAAGATTTGGGAGGGGCTGCCGATGATGATCATCAGCATCGTGTCGTTTGCAGCCGCTACCCTGATACTGTTTCTACCGGAGACGCTTGGTCGCGATCTCCCGCAGACCCTACGTCAGGGAGAGGATTTTGGCAAGGAGCAAAGTTTCTGGGCGCTGCCCTGCTGCGAGAGACCGCGTTCGAGTCGACATCGACATTATCGTCCAAGCGAGCTGTAGTCTTTTCAATTTTTATTATATATATATAAATATTATAAAACAATGCTCGGTATGATCGCCGAGGAAATGTAGTTACTTAAAAGGGGGAAAAAAAAGAAACTTACGTCTCTCGCACGTGATAATGTAATAACTAATTAAGGTTTCTTTTGTACGAACTAATAAAGTTCGCGGACCAGATCGGAATGATCTCACAGGAGCATTTTTCTGGGAGAATTTACTTGTTTGTAGAGTAAATGCATTAGAACAAAGTTTACACGAGGATAAAATAATCTGTCTCTTTATTTTACACTGTTACTCGACCACCATTATAGATGGCAAGATGAGCGAAATGGTATTAGTGTCTTTCGCCATTTGCGAAGAAATTTCCAACATTTGGCAGTGAATGATGAGAAAACGTGTCTTTATATGCGGTATGAACGCCCCTGTGCCGGCCTATATACATTAAATTATCTAAAATCTTCTACTTACTTTAATTAATAAAAATTAATTCGTTCGCTTCGCCGCTTGCAACTTTGCAACAACTCTTGATGATACATCAAGAGTGCGACGGCAATCTCTTTATAGTTCTGTTCGCACGGTATATTCGGTCCGTCGCGTCCTTTCAAGAATATCGAGTATAACAAGGTGACCTCCGCGTCTGTATCACGGTACGGAAAATAAGTTGTCTTTTATGTACCGCGGCTTAGAGACGTCGTTCTTCGGGGAGGCAAGGAAAGTGGGCGAAGGGGACGGACGTCTCTTTGTAATAGATATTTTAAATCGGAGTATTTCCGCTGAGTTTGCAGTGAACGTGAATATCTACAGTGATCTTTACGTTTACGGCTATTCGTGTGTAAATGAAACGCGACATTTGGCACATCTCGGGCTTTTTTTCTGTGCGACGTAAAAAAATTGGATTCGTAAAATACCATACCGATTTCGATCCTTGTAGTATCTCGCGAACGACACGGAGACATCAGCTTCACTCAGCACTCATCCAGTCTCGCTAAAACGCAGTCTATACGCTTAGTCGAATAGCTTTGTACACACATCAGCTGCATCCTGGGGAAGAGCGGCGAGCCGAAAGTCGAGGTCCCGCCGCGAGGAAACGATTCGGAAAGGTAATCTGGCACTCTCTCTCGAGACAGTCGCATCGACTTCGACGTTGCGCATTCACATTCGCGTTCGTGTCCATCTGAGCGTGCATCTCGTCGAATTGAATCTCCCGCATCTTCCTACTTCATATTTGTGTTCCACGTACTTCACCATCGCGCGTTACCGCACTTGACGTGTCCATCGTGTCACTCAGTTTAACACCTAAGATCACACACGCGGGCGATCCGGCCGCGAGTATTTACAACAAAAAGATTTGGCAAATTACCGTGTGGACGGCCGTTATAATCTCGTACAGTCGATAGTTTGAATACTGCCGTGATGGAAAGCCGCGTTCGTCATTCCCTCCTTCTTCATCTTCTTCCTCAACGATTTTTTCAATTGCGGAGTCCTGCGAAAATTTTAAAGGTAAAAAGATAAACTTACAAAAACCATTATGAGGTAAAAAATACAGAGGATCTTGATATTTCTTTTCGCTTGAATACAACGCGAAAAGAGATGAGAGGAAACAATAAAAGAAAAAGAGAAGAGAGAACTTACGAGGATATGCAGGGAATCCACCAAAAGCTCTGATCCGTGCCGAAGTCGTTACCCTCCTGTAGAGTTTCGGGCAAATCCTGGTCCAAGGTTTCCGGTAGCGCTAACGTTAGGAACGCGTCGACGAACGACAGGAGCCCAAGAGTTATCAACGGCAAGTGCTGATTGACATCGGCCTGAAAAACGACGATGACGATCGAATCTCAATTAATTGGCAATTAGATTTTGTTAATCATACAGTAAATAGTTTATCGGATACTTTACCAGATATATTACGTAGGGTCCGACGATGTGAGCGATGTAGCCAATAATGTGAATCAGAGACACACCTTGCGCCCGCACTACGGTCGGCAACATCTCGGCCGCGTATTGGAAACCGATATTCGCGGCGATATTGACACCGAGGCGCGCCAAAATCGCCATGGTGACGGTTAGTGCACCTGAAACACCCGCGGGTTATGTAAATGCGGCATGCTACAAGTTACAAGAGCTATATTTGCTATAGTCGGCGATCGCACTAGTTTGCAGTTTGCAATCGAACGAAACTTGAATCGCAGAGCGACAGAATCGAAGATCTCATCTTTGCGCGCGTTTTATTTTTTATTTCCCTTTTTTTGCACCCCTACGACGATTTTACGGTTCCCATATTGTTCTGGCGATAAAGGAGAATAATTAAACCCGACGACGACAGGACTAATTAACGTCACGCGAGTGAGACAATGTGTAACTTACCGGGGGGAGTGCCGATGGCGATGAAGGAGAAAATGCCGCATATGAACATGGAAGCGAAGCCCATCCATCGTCGGCCCCATCTATCAAGGAAGAGTGCCAGCAGAATCGCCGCCGGAAGCTCGGTCATCGCGGCTAAGGAGAACGACGTGAACACATCGGGATCCAGCAGCTTCATGTTCCAAACGTGTCCGTCGAACACCAGGATGATCAACAGCCTGAAAGCCGACTGTCCGATCAATAGTCGTTTCAAACGAGGTCGGCAGACAGCTGTCGGGGTTGATATCTCCCCTGGTTACTCACCAGTAAATAACAAGCATGACGGTGATGCGAGCCAGTCGGGGCAGCTTGAAGAGATGCAGAACCGTGTACTGATTGTGCGACTTATCCTTCTCGATTATGGATCTGCAGCTCTTCTCGAATTCCTCAAACACCTCCTGCTTCACTTCCTTGCCGTTGACCTTCGCGAATTTCTTCAGCATGCCGATCGCCTTGTCAACATTGCCGCTCATGATATACCATCTGAGAAATAGAATAGGCCTACTATTAGCGCCCACATATATTTACCTATGTGTATACTTTGCAAGAAATAATTTCATTTCACAAAAGATAATTTATATTACAAATTCACAGTTCAAAAGTTTTAAAAAGTTTCAAAAGGAACAATGTAAGGCAAATATAATAAATACCGTGCACTTTCCGGGACGAGCCACGGGCCGAGGAAAGCGACGATCATCGGGAATGCGGTGACGACGCTTAAAATTCTCCAGTCCGCAATCCAATATGCGATCCACGGCAGAAGACCAGCGGCGGCGGCAAAGTAAATCCCGAAGGACATGTTCGCCACCAGGGTTCGGTACTTCGGGCCGACGTACTCGATTACTGCGATCAAAGTTACCGTCAGTAATGACGACCGAGATATCGCGATAATAATTTCCATCGCGTTGGAATCTACTTTAGAATTCAAATCGAGAGTTCGAAGTATTTTCAAACTTCTGAGAAACTACTGATAGACAGGAGTAGAAATACCTATATTCGTATCTCTCCTTAATAAGCTGCTTTAATTAAACAGAAAAATTTATTTATATTTATTTAAATCCCTCGTAATTTTTCATTCAATCGGCGACGATACGTACCGATAATGAAGAGTACGTTGAAGCAGTTGTCGAACGACGCACCGACGATCAGTCTTGCGAAGCAGAAGGACCAAAAACTATTGCAGAAGGCCGTGGCGATGGAAGCGAAGAAGCCAACCGCGTTGCAGGACACCAACGCCGGAATTCTACCATGGTGATCAGCTATGTAGCCGAAAATCAGGCCGCCGATGATGCTGCCGACGAAGAAGGCTGACTGTGCCGCGGAACCGAGGAAAGTCTTGTCGCAGACCCATTCGAGCTGGCAAAATGGCACACGCGACAATGGCACACATTATTATAATCGTACGGAGATACTGTGTTATTAATAATATTGTCGTCAAGATTTATTTATCAGCGGTTTTTTTTAGCTGAATATATGCCGCGATTTAATACCGATGGAATTTCTATAAGTAATTTCTATCACGTGCGTCTCTAGCCTTATAAAACTGAAGGTTGAATTGCATTAGATAGAACAAATAGCGTCGAACATCGATAAACGATACAAGCGAAGCTTACGCTACGTCATATATATACTGGAAATTTAATAAACGCTGCTCACCGACGACGTCACCGACGTACGGCAATAGATTTTTATCTCTCGGATATTACGCAACGCCAAAAATACCGGTGTGCGAACGGTATATATTTTCGGTACCGGTTTCCCTTTCGCATCGTAAGCTAATTACAATGAAGCTACGCCCCGGGCAAGAATTAAGAGGAAAAGGATTTAAAAAAAAAACGACCGGAGCCGCGTGCCGAGCCGATTGACGTATCGTTGAGCGCGTCATTCGCGCAAATTTATTAATCAATTAGCGGCGGCGCGCGGCAGCGCGACAGTGATTCATGGCGAGTGGTAAATGTCGTATTTTAAATTTTTACCTCGGCGGCGATCGAGGCGTACGGTATCATCGTGTGGTTGAAGGTCCATCCCTGCTTGCATCGTATTATCGGCCACGACGGATTCGCCTGTCTGACACCTTGCTCGAGCAGCTCGGTGTAATTCACGTCGTACATGTAGCATCTCGAGAACGACGTCGCGCTCTCCAGCCGCAGCTCCTCGTCGGTGGCCGCGGGTATCCCTATCGCGATCCTATCGCAATTCAGACGCAAACAAAATCGTTAGGAAAACAATAAATCTATAGGCGATATCGCCTCTAAATGCATCCAATTTCTTGCTATCGCGCGCGCACGCGATAGTGTTGCGCCCGCGACAAATGATATCCGAGTTGACGCGCGTCAAAATAAGTGTCACATTCGTTGTAATGTACGATCGGCGTTACGTGCGAGTTTATACGTTGACCTAAGCGCGATGCCTGCAGCAAATAGGTTCTGATGGGTTCCTCGATCCTATACACCTTCGCGGACGTGCCGTTCTCGTTTCAGGAACGCAACTACGCAACGTACACTACGAAACGCGATACGCATTCTATACCTACGTTTCATAAATCCCGCGGAAGATAAAATGACAATTTTGTTTCTAAGAGGCAAACACGTGCGTTTCTGCTATTCCCCGAAGTATTACAGACCTATCAGATCTGTCCTCTTTTATTCCCATATGGAGGTCATCAACTTAAATCATATCGCGGTGGCTGATTTTAATAAACGATTCGCGTTTTCCAAAGTACTTTATGGTTTTCGTCTCGATAGGAAAGAGGAAAATTACGTTCCCCCAAGCAGGGGGAACGTACTTTCAATGGAAAGAAAACTCTTCCACCTTTCTCTCTCTTTCTCTTACTCTCTCTCTCTCTCTCTCTCTCTCTCGCTCTCGTGGAATTCTCGGGGAATCCTTTCGAGGTCGACAGCCAAACTGGTTTTCTGTAACTTCGGAGAATACAGAGAAACTACTGATCAAGTGATCTGAATCACGTACTATAACCGCAACAACGGATTTTCCTACTTGACAGTCATGCAGTCTGGTACAATTATCTCCTGGTATGAGACATGACTCGCTAAAATACTGCAGGACGATTGGATTATTTCGAAATGCTTGGAAGCACAAAAGTACACACAAAATTGTATGTTTTAACGAAATGCGTATTTATTAAGTTGCGTTTAAGGAACATGCTATCAGCGCTATTGCATCATTTTGTCCTAGTTTTACATCTAATTAATGATAAAACTCACTGATAGCGCGCTCTCTAAACGCAGGTTTAGAGAGACAGATGGAAATAACGTCTGTCAAACGAATAATTTCGATTCACGTCTGTTCGCAATTTTCATTGGCGCGGAAATGTCCCACTTAAAGAAAAAAAGAGGGGAAAAAATGTAATTATGTACTTCTTGTACAACACGCTTATGATGGAAAGCTTACAAAAAATGTAACGTAATTAGGTATAATTATATTTCTTACTCCATAAAAATGTTTTTGTAAAACAAAAATAGAATTATTCGAATGTAAATTAAGTCCTTTAACACGGAACTGTCTTCGTCATTTCATTTTACTTCTTAAAGGACGTAATCACGAAATAACACTTCATTATTCATGCTCTGTACTTAAAACAGTATGTATTATTCATTGTATTTCAGAAAAGCTCGACAGAGGAATATTATAATTTTATTTTACCTATTTTTCACAAGCAAAATAAAAATTAAAATAATACTAATTGAATCATTAGAAATTTTTTTGTGCGTATGTGTAAAAAAGAAAATTTTATAATGGGAAATAGATGTACATTTAACAGTCCGCATATTTTTTGAAATATTTTGTCGATTTGCACAATTATTAGAATTTAAAAAAAATTAATTTCATAACTTCAAAATACCTGCAGATAATACTTTCTTAAAAGAAAACATTCGCGAAAGATTTCGATCGTTAATAGTCGAAAAATTATTCGTGTCGTCATTCCTGTAAAGACGAAACGGTGCAGGGAATTTGAGACACACTATATGCATATATGCAAAAAATCCAACACGCGAGGGTGAATCTATATATAAGCCAAGCCGACCGTGGCCCAAGGTCTTGGTCAGCTCGAACCGACCGGACTTGAACTGTCGTTATGAAATGAGGATGAAGAGAATTTCACTACCTTCCACTTCTCATTCCTCGTTATTGCAAGGCTATCTTAGGTATTGTTAAACGAATCTCGGAAATCTTTTGTCTTTCGATCCTGTCTGCGTAGAGATATCTTACAGAATCGCACAAGTATTAATTATCTAAATATCTAATTGTAAATTATTTATAATTTATACAATTTTAATTGAGTTTTATTCATTATTATTTAAATATGAAATATTGCTTATCATCTGTTACTTCGATTTTTAAGTGTATGAAGTATCGAGAGTGATGAGAGACGCGCTTGCAGTGTCGCCTCGTCAAACTTACTTTTCGAGATCCGTGAAATTGTAATTATCCAACTCCGGTATGGTGCACCAGTGCTCGGCGGGCACGAGGGTGAGGAAGAATTGCGCGAAGTACAAAAAAGCGTAAACGAAGGTGAACGGTAGGAGCAGGATGAACAGGAACCACTGGTATCTGCTCGCCTCGCCGACGTACGGTAGGATATCGTCGAAGGTCTCGATCTTCGCGGGACCGTTGCCCTCCTCGACTTTCGTGGATTCAACCATGACCGTCATCGTCGTTGTATCTGGAAAGAGCGAGAACGCCCGTGAACTCCCTTAAGGAATGTTCATCGCCGACTAACGGCGAAGAAAGGACGTCGAAGTATCGGCACGGTATTCGCGCGTACCCGTGCGAGTCCCGTTCACGCTCGCAACGTGAGACAAAGCGGGAACAAAGAATGAAATACATAATGCGATAACGAGGCGAGACGCCTCGGTATCATTATGCCGCTAATGAGCCGAGCGGATTTGCGTTTGTATGACGACGAGGGCGCGAGGAAAAGAAAACTAATAGGAGTAAACAAAAGATCATTATTATGACATAGCGAACGCTACACGACGCGTGTTATACCGGTCTTTGTCATTAATTACAATATTTTTACGTTAAATACTAAATGACAAAATCGGAGTTGCATATTATCTCGAAAAAGAAGATCTTCTGGTTTACAAGTCGGAACAAGCAGGCAGATTCGACGAACGTCGAGTATGGAAATCAAGTGTGTTCATAAGGTCACACGCGAGATACATCGAGATAAACAAAATACTAGATAACACAGTATTAAAGTAAATAAATATTAAGGAATGTTTTTTTCTAGTACTCGCTTCGCGGATCTCGTTCAGATCTGCAATTTCTACCGACTCTGGTCCGTCCGTTTATGCTTGCGAAAATCGCGAGATCGATCGGCTTTATTCCTTTGCTTCTTATTTTCCTCGAGACTCGGAACGGCTTAAAAACGACAAGCGTGTGCGATTTGAGATGTTCCTCGCCTATGGTAATCCTCCCACGCTTTCTTCGAACGGATTCGGAAAAATATGCGGCTTTCGATCCGTAAATTCAATATAAATAATTCCCGCGGCGCGCTGTACGCTTGGCGCTATACATTCGTCGCACGTGTATGAGAATCCATAACGGCAATGTCATTGAAAATTTACAAGAAATCGAAACGATGTTGCATGAACGACTTAAACGCCGCATTAATTCAGTGCAGAAGTAATTACATTGTGCAATTATATACCGTCCTCGATGAGGTACGTAACGAGAAAAAGACGCGTGTACATACCGGTAAATCATTAGCGCTAATAATGCGTTCAGACATTCATAAAGCGTTATATGTATTTACGGGGATTTACGGGGGATTTGCTTTTAATAGAAATTACGATTTGCACTCACGCGGAAGAGTCGTGAACAAGAAAACAAAAAAATATCCGCGAAATAGCAAGAGCGATGCAGCCTTGTGTTAATGCATTAATAATCCATTGCCGTTTCTTCCACCGATTTACTCGAATCTAATAATTACCGCCCAATCGCGCTTATCAATTTGTAATACCTTGCCTCGTTAATCCAGCTTAATTCCATTAATATTCCTTTTACCTGCTTTGGCCGTTAAATCAATCGTTTCGGGTGATCTATCAACCGTGAATTCCGTGACGTGAGATTTTCTTATAACGGAAATAGGAATTTCGTACGGCAAGTATGAACGATTGACACTACACGTAATTAAGTAATTGAGAGAACATATAGCAAACAAAACGTGATGTAAAAGTTACACATTCAGAAGATAAAAGCACTTCAGCTATTTACATAAAGTATTAGGTTTGCGAAACTCTTCGTTATATCTTCAGCGTTATAATTTTATCACTTTATCTTCATTCACTTGTATTCTTATCGGCGATATAGAAAAGAGACAAAGAAAAGTCCTTCTTGTGAAAGAAAATCTTCCAATATTTATCGCAAAATTATTCCACATTGTGTAAAAAAGGAAAGAGAAAAAATATCTGACGATTGAAAGTAAAAAGGCGACGAACAGCTCTTTACCTGTTGATCCTTTCCGCGTGGAGAGCAATGTAAAGAATCACGACAAATCGATGTAGTCGCGCACAAAAATAAATTAATAATCCACAAGATATAGAGATTCACTTTTTATAGAGGTCGTATGCAGTAAAGAAATATATTTCAAGAGCGCGGGGAATATAAATATTCCGGTAAGACACTCTCTCTCTCTCTCTGTTTCTTTTGCGGACTCGGTTCACGGTTGTGCGATAGAATCTCCCCCGTCGAAGAAATTCCCGATTTTTTCCGATAATTCGGATCGACTTTTCGGACGTTTTCACGCACTACATCATCGTTTCGAGAAGCGCGCGAACTGTTGGCAGCGCAACCGATTGGTGGGGCTTTATAGTCTTCCACTACAGATACAGAAAACCACGCGCTTCCCCACCTTTATAGGACCGGCAGCGACCGGTAGACGCCGGGCGGAATGGATAAACGCGACCTGTTGTCGGCCGTCGTCGGCGGCACACGGTGGTGTCGCAACGGATCGTGCTTTCCGTGACGTCATTAGGGAACGCACGCACGAGAAACGGGGATTTCGTAATTTTTTTTTCTCGCACGCACGCAAGCGGCGATCTTTCCCGATCGCGTATATGCACTCTTTCCGCGAACGTCATCGCTTTTCACCGCGGCGAGCTTCGTGCGCAGGTGACCACCGCATCGATATATAATTAACGCGGAGAGAAAAATGCGAGCGCGTCGCTTATCCGAAAGAATAAAATTTCTCGGAAAGTCCCAAGCAATATCGAGTTTACCAAAAAGAGATTAAAATGTTTGTACATATCTATACACTTTCAGAGAAAATAAACCTATATTGACCTTCTGACGAGCAGGCATAAGTGATTAAAAAAATGTAAATTATATCGAAAAACTTTCGGTCGCCAAATTCATTAAGATACTCGTATCTGGTATTTTCAAATAAAATACCTACGTTGAGATCTGATTGTGAGTATCTTCTGGCTAGTAAGCAGACCCGGAAATGATATCAAATAAAACTTTGAAATGTTTATTTTGTTATAACAACGTCCTACTGTGTACATTTTATAAAATTAAAGGTAACAAGATTAAGTTCCTTTTTAGATTGCTATATTGATGATTTAATGAAGATGTAATTGCTCTCGTTATCGTCGGAAAAAATGCGTTGCTGTTTAATTAAGTGTTTCGGCAAAATTTCGATATTTCGTTCAGCAAATATTGAAGATTTACACAAGTTGGAGATATCAAACTGCTTTTTTTTATTTTCAATCGATATTAACCGACTAGGATAATATTTTTACACAAAGAAACGATGTAACGTAATCTAAGCAATTATATGAAAACGTAACCGCATCGAGCGATTCAATCGCAATGATTTATACTACTTATTCAATTGCAATGTTAAATTAGATGCCAATAATTTAATTAGACACAGAATATGTTTCCCGCCTCGAGCGTCATTTTTTAGATTATCTAATATAAATATCTTATAGATATATAGATATCTTTATAAATAGTAAAGTTTTGCTTATTTTAGATTAATAACTAATTATTGTGAGAAAAATAACGAGGTAATTATCAATTATAATTAGAGGAATGTGCGTCACGCTCCTCGTATGAGAAGGAAAAATTAAGGAGTTTACGTGAATCATGAGGAAACTCGTCATTCATAAGAAGAACCCGAATGATAGGTTCGACAGGATTATATTCATTATATCACTGTACGTATTTACATCTACCTGTGCGCGATATTATTAGAGGGATTTGTAATGCAGTAATCTACAAATGATGACGTCCAAGGTGAGAAAATTTGTATCGTGTTGCAAGTCGAGATGACGCAGCCGAATTAGATATGGACGATATTACGAACACACGAATCTGTCTGTGGGATGCATTTTTGAAGATCCGAGAAATACATATTATGTGAATTCTATTATATGTATTCATCTGTGTTGCAGAATACAAAATTCTATGAACAATATGTCGCGATGCTCATGATAAACTCTTGATAACACGACGATAACAATAATGAGGCCCTTCCTTCAATAATGTTCCTTTTTGCTATCAGTTTACAAATTATCATTTTAAATATCATTTTAAACGCTCTGAGCTCCCGTTTATTGTCGTGTTATCAAGAGCTTATCGCGACATTTGTAGGATTTTTTTCGACGAACATCGGATTATGTAACGCCGCTCGCGCGGATGAAACAACCGCGATGGCGAAGAGAGGGAGATGTTTTCGGTTCAAAAATCGTGGATCTGAGTGGTTTGATGAATTGTGTGAAAGCCACACGAACGGTGTGTCGAACGTCTGTCTGGAAGGTGAACGAGTTGTGCACGTGTTGCATCGATAACGTTCGATCACGACGGCGGTCACGGTGCGGCCTCAACTTCCGGTGCGGCGGTGCGTCGCGCGCGCGGTTCGGTCCGAAGTGCTCCAGACACGAAGATGACGACCTTGATCGATGGCACATGCGCACGGGGAAAACCCAAGATAACCAGAATAGAAGCGTCGACTCGGGCGAAATACCGCGGTGGAGATGCCGAGAAAGACGTCGAAAGGTAAGACCGGACGGGCCCGAAACCGGTTGACGAACGAGACGGTGGAAGAGCGGCTGCATGACACGTCGGCGCGGCGCGTCGAAGAAGGAATTCGCTCGTCGTGCGTCGTCGCCTCGCGAGGAAAATGCGCGAGTTCCTCTTGCCTCTTGCCACGCAGGAAAAATTCGAGGAACGAACGGAGAATATATATTTGCGCGACGCGGCGACGTCACGGGAATCTCGGCTCTTTTTTTTCTTTCCCTAAATGTCATCGCGCACGCACGTCGCGTCGCACAATACTCGCGATACTCTTGCCTCTGTACAACGAACGAGTTTTGTGTACGTCGTTGCGTGGAAATCCCTAAATCGTATCGATCAATGAACTCATCTCCAGACCGACAACAAATATTATATCATAATGCATAGGTCTTTTAAATAAAAATCTCGTTAATAATGTTACTTCTATAGCATCCACTCACATTATAGCATCTCAAAGATTTTGTTATACAATTTGAAGTAGTCTTCTAGACGCATTTTGTTATAACAAAATTATAGGCTTCCACGAATCTTTCGACGCAAACTAGCGATATTTCATAATCGTTTAAATTCTAATTCGATGGCGCTCGTTCAATTTTAGCGGCGATAGTTATCGCGGAGTAAATGATAGGTTGATTAAAATAATAGGCCGATTAGAATGACGCAATCGGCATTGCGTGAACGACGATAGTGACACGATATTTAAATTGGCCAGTGTCGTGACAATAAAAATCAAATTGAATTTGGCGCCGTCAGTATTGTCTGCCCGAAACGATTTGAATTGACGATATTAATTCCAGCGATTCTCTCTGCTCGAATGATCGCCGTCGGGAATGTTGCACGATGGCTCTCTTCGCGCGGCGAATTCGTCCTTGCGAATTGCAATAATTGCGTAAAACGCGTGAATCTAACGAGCTGTTATGCGAGGCCGCGATAAAGGCGACACGCGAAACGACTTAAAGTATGTTGCGACGGCGGCGTTACGACAGCATATCGGAAGCGTGTCAAATACGAACGAGACCGCGAAATGCGACGCGGGTCATCGTCGAGAATAAGAGTAGGAAGAGAAAGTCTTTGTAAAAAATCTTTTGTCTTTTAGCTCACATTCGGGTCGTTTTGCTATGAAGAATGAATATTATAAGACGACACGTCACACAGTCTATTTAACAAACGAAGAAAATAGATCGATGAATAGGAAAATGAATTATGCCGAGGTTTTTATATAACTGACTTTATATCGCTGAAAAATGCATTTTAATGGCAGATATTTCTCGATAAATGTAACTCGTTTTTCTAGTATTTCAACATACTTCCTCGAGGGATCTAAAAAAAAATCTTTCGTCGACAACTCGGAAGTGTTTGCCCGACGATGGATTAAGCTACGGATCGTCAGATCGAGTTTGCGTCACAAGTATACGTTTAGTACTTGTTTCGCACTTAATACAGGGTAACACAGCAAAATCATGCACGTGCAACAGGCGGTCATCGCTATAAATAGCGAAAGCTGGAAATGAGATTTTTTTTCTCTCGCTTTTTAATTGGAATACATTAAATCGGTGGGCGTGTGCAGGTGCGTAATACAAAATGAGATGTGACGTTAAGATATGGCTATCGTTGCGATAATTGCATCTCGAATACAAAGACACAGGCCGCGAAACGAGGAACTCGCTCGCGGGCTTCCGCGAGCTTGTAAATCGCCGAGCTGCAAACCCTCAGGACGTGGCGGCAGCTTCTTATCGGATTCAAGTGCACCGGGACGGTAATGATGGTCCTTAACAGAGTTATTCGAGCAAGGGAAGGGGGGAGGGGGAGCAGGAAGAACGGGCGCGCGCGTACTTGGATAACTTTGCCGTGTCTAGTGGTGTTTCGAATTCCGCATTTTGTATCGTTGAGCATCGATAAACCGACGCAACGTGACAAAGAGACGGGCGCCCATTCGTTTCCCTTGCAGTCGCTGCACGCTCGGAAATTGACATTAATTATCTCCGCGGCTCTAACGAAACACGAGAAATTTATTTTATTAAAATATCAGGGAAATAATGAATCTCAAAAAAGATTCTAAAGATCATAAAGATTCATCAAAAAATATCCTTCAGTAAAATATTTATATACAATTAAACCGATAGGCTTTTCCATTCTGTATTTTTTTCATTTCAGAGTCACTGATCTCGCCTTCACAAGCGATTTCACTTGTTTTTCATGATGACAAAAACAGGTTTTCGGCCTGTCGACATATCAGTAAATCGTATCCGACGATTAAATCTTCCATGTAAATTCAAAAGCCAATTTTTTTCGATTTTAGTAAAATGGGTCGCTACGACCTAAAAATTAAATGATTGCATGTGTTGAATAGATGCGAAGAAAATTCGCAATTGTCAGTAAGGCCACCCGACGATTCCATAAAAATATTAACATATCGCTGGCAAAAAGAATTGGATCGAGGTTAGCTATAGTCGGTCATGTAAAGACTTTGGCATAATTCATTTTCTTATCTGTCGATCTATTTTATTTGACTGTTTACTTAAACTGCGACGCATCGTCTTACAATTAGAGCAAACTCTCTTTTTGCGTGGGGAGCAAACGTTGCTTACTATGAGATACATTAAAAGCCTTGTTTATGATACGTGACTGCACATATATTAGATATAAAAACGCATAAACGCTATAATCAAACATATAATTAACGCTCTCCGTGCGTTAATTATCACCAAGTGACAAAGCGTCAAAGATTTGATCGAGATTTGACTTGATCCACGTGCATAATTTACAACGACAGAGTGTGGCCGTTTCTGATTATCAATTCAACA